ATTTAGACTATAAACTTCTATAAACTATGATCTTTTTTTTTATTTATCACTACATAGACTATAATAAACTATATAAACTATAATCATCTCACTATATAAACTATAATAAACTTTTTTTTTTGATCACTTTATTAACTTTATTTCGTCAAATATAAAAAATCATATTATGTAACTTCACAGTATATTTTACCTAAGGGGGGGTAGACGCTTATATTAATATAATATTAGGTAATATCTGTCATTGTCTTTAGAAGGTTTATCATTTAAAATTAAATGAGTTCTATCAATAGTACTAATTACATTTTTAAATCTACCAATTAATTGAAATTCTTTATAAACTAATTTTCACTGTTCTCCTTTTGGCTATTGAATAAATAATAATTTTTTTTGAAATTATTATTTTAATTACATATTCTTTTTATATATAAAATTACAGTTTCTTCTGCAATACTAAATCATGAACATATTTCAAAAATATTACTTTTACCTTTAATTCTATGTAAAATATTACTAATTGTAATTCTACTAATGCTTATTTTTTTGTCTCTTAGTTTGAAAATTTTCATAAACAGAAATTAAATTAATTAAAGTTTTAAAATATTTAAATAGCATTCGTAATATTTTTTTAAAATATTTATTATCGTAAGTTGGTAAAACTTTATAATACCAGTAAGAAGACTTTAAAACAGCATACAAAAATTTTTGAAAAAATTTTGAAAATTTTTCGAAAAGCCTCAAAATTTTCAGAAATTTATTTTTTATATCAGAATATGTGACCAACATCAATAAACTTTACCAGAATCAATAAAATTTTGCCAAATTTGTTTGAATTTAAATTGGCATAGATTAATTAATTGATATTTAATCAAATTTTTATTATATCATTGTTACAATATAGTTTTAAACGTCAAAAATTCGTGATGATGATTTGTCTCAAAAAAATGAGCAAAATTTTAAAAATCCTTAAGAAAATTTGAAATTTTCAATTTAAATAAAACATTTAAAATTAAGTAGCTATCAGAATTTTCTTATTTACATTATGATGATAACAAAAAAATGTTTTGTACAATTTGTGTTAAACATAAGATGAAAAATAAGTTTGATACAGAAGGTGTAATGAATATCTCAAAAAAATCAGCAGTTAAAAAGTATGTAAAATGTAAAGATAATATCGAAGCAGAAAAATTAAAATCGCACTTATTCAAATAAAATCTTTGCAAAATCAAATCTTTTCTTCTGATGTAAATGCCAGATATATTATAATTATAATGAGAGCTGTATATTTTTTGTCAAAAAAAGATTTGCCTTTTTGACTTTTATCTTCTATAATTGAAATGATGAAAGAATTAGGAACACTACATATTTCTGATGGTTCAATTTCATATATAAATGAAATTTCAGGATATTATTATGATAGTTTCATAATTTTAGATATAAAACTAAAACAATTACTTAAGGAATCATAGGTAAGGATTCACAACAACATCAAAGAATTATTCTCAATATAAAATATGTGAGATAAATACAAAATAAACACAGATAATTCAAAGATATTTCAGAGATTACACTTCAAAGACTCTGAGTTAATATAGCAAATCAATATAATATTATATAATAAGTTTACTAACAATAATTAAAGGGATTGTATAAATGTAAAGGATCACAGATAATTTACAACAGTTTCAAAAGATTTGTGAAGGATAAGTTTTATACTTGGTTAATTATACTCCTTTATTAATATAATATAAGTTCAGTACCTAAAAAATTAATATTTTGTCAGTAGTGAGACTTAAAGAAAATACAGAGATATTTATACATGTTGGATAAATAATAAAATAAACTAAACTAAATATATTAAAGGAAATAAAGTTGTCATTTCGCTAGATAATAAAGTTGCTGTATCAATAAAATTACCAGATCTGCAGGTAACTATATAGATATTTATGATCTACGTAATTATCAAGGACAATAAAATTGACATCTAAAGATTTATATAATTGATCGATGATAATAAAATGGATAAAATGATCTTTATAAAAGATCTATATGACAATAAAATTAACTTTATATTTTATTAATTAAATCTATCTAAAATTTTACCCATCACAATATAAATTTCTAATGGCAATAGCTAAAACTATTGAAAATGAAATCTGAAGAGAATTATCTGATGTTATAGCATTTGGATTAATGATCGATAAAAGCATAGATATCACAATAACCAAACATTTAGATGTATATATTTTATATGTAACTAAAAATGAAATATTTAAAATGTAATTTTTATATCTTATACCTTTAATTGAATATGATGCAAAAAGTATTACACAAGTTTTAATTAATATTTTTGAAAAGAAGAGAATTTTATCTAAAATTGTAGCATTTGCCTCAGATGATACTTCAGTTATGTTAGGAAAAAATGAAGGTGTTGTAGCAAAACTTTTTATAATATGTATTTATCCTTTAATTATTAATCATTGTGTGGTTTATAGATTGACTTTGGCATGTAAAGATGCAAGAAAAGAAATTGAATTTTATAATAAAGCTGAATTATTAGTTAAAAAAATTTATGGTTATTTTAAAAATTCATATTCACATATTCAACAATTAAAAGAAATTCAAGATCTTTTAGATTGTCCTATTTTAAAAATAAATAGATTATATGAGATATATTGACTTGCATAATATGATGCTATTAAAAATATTTGTAATTCAATTCCTGTATTACTTAGAGTTTTTAAAGAAGTAGAAAATGATAGAGAATGAGAATATTAAATTAATGTTTTGAAGAATGTTGGTATTTTTATATTTTTTTATGATATTTTAGAACATATAATGTGTTTGTGTAAATTTTTTCAAAGAAGAAATTTACGATTTTCAAATATAGATCTAATTACAATTAATTTTATTCAAAAGGAATACTTATTAGATGATCGATCACAAAAATTTATATATAATATTCAAAATTTAATCAACAAAATGAATCCATTTGGAAACAATTCAATAGAATATATAGATCATAAACTTTCTTTCACTGAGTAGAATTATGATGAATTTTTAATAGATATATATAGTTATTCAACAAGTATTATTTTTAAATTATAACAATGGTTTTCTAATAGATTATTATTTGCTTCTATAAAAATATTAAATCTGTAAGAATGGTCAAGAGACTCTCAATATTTACTACATTTTGGAGATAATAAATTAAAAATATTATGAGCATCTAAATATTCATAATAATATTCAATTAATAGCACTCTTTGATGTTAATAAATATAGATAAAAATGGCAAGATTTAAAATGATTGTTATTAGTAACCTTTTTTCTAAAGATATAAATGTAATTCTTCCCTTGCTAATTTAAGATTATAGAAATATTTTTCTAAATATTATTAAATTAATTCAATTGATTTATTGTATTTCCTTTTCTAGTATAGAGTGTAAGCGTGATTTTAGTAGATAGAATCAGATTAAAACTAAAAATAGGAATTTATTAGCTACAGATACATTAGATATATTAATGCGTATCTCTTTAAAAGGACTGAAAGTTCAAAATTTGATTATAATCACGTATATATTATTTGGAAAAATTATAAGAGACGTATTGATATTAACAAATAACCATGTTGAATTACTAATATGATTATTAAATAAAGAAATATTATTGAATATTGAATTACTGTCATTTTATTATTTGAAAAACTATATAAATAAAATTTCTGGCATTTATAAAATTTACTGAAAATCTGCTATATTATATTTGAAAAATTCTGGATTAAAAAAATTTTTCCAGATTTATTAAAAATCTTTTAGAAAATATAGTAAAATTTGAATAGGTTTTGTACGCTGCTTTGAAATATTATATAAATAGGTATTAGAATATCTTCTTTCTAAAAGTAAAAGTAAATTAAAGGTAATTAAATAATTAACTTCAGTTTTTTCTTTAAAATCACTATTTTTTTAGAATCACTTTTACTTTTATAAAGAAATTCTTGAATAGTTGTTGTTAAAAGGAATGCATTTTTTATTTCTTATTTTTTAGACATTTTAGGATATGCTGTACCATCAATCTATGCATCAACTCTGTTCAATTTTGTACATCAAATTATGAATTATGAATGGTTAATCACAATATGCATCAAAAAGTGTATCAATTAAAATAAACAGGCCTACTAAGTATTTATAGGGACTTAGAATTTTTCAGTAATTAAAAATTTATTTATCACTACTATACGTCACATGCGCATCACAATTAATTCCAGCCAAATGCTATGATGCTGGCCATTTCGTAACATTTTTGAAGGTTACGCAGAGGAAGTCAGTTACAAATGGCGCAGTAAAATTGTTAAAGCGAATATGCTGATAATGTGATATTTTATCTAATCACATTACAAGGGGTATGAATAACAGCCTCCTAAATAAATTAACAAGTTTAATTTTACATTAATATTGATTTATAATAATTAGCCAGTTTTTTTTTCTTCCAATAATCACCTGCATCTTTTTTCTAGTCATGGTATTGGTTAAAGTTATGATCTTTGGTTTATTACCATATTTTTTTGTGTAATTTAATCATATTTTTTAAGGATCGGAAATTTAATAAATTATTTATTTATTTAAAAGTTAAGATTGGATTAAAAGATTTTTTTTTTATTGTTATTTATATATTGTTTTAAGGGGGATGAGTTTTTTTTTCTAAAAATTTTAGGATCTTAACGATTATGAGGGTTGGTTCTGGACATTAATATGTTATTTAATCTTTTATATTCTAAGAGCATGTTTTGATCTGTCATAAATGCTGAATGATCAAGATGAGATATTTTGACGTTGTTCCAGGTAGGACATCTACTGAGGACAACGTAGGCTTGTTCAGGGAGAAAATGTTTTCATCTAATGCAAGAGATACTTTTGATAGGGTCAAGCCTTGGGTTTAAGGACAAAGGCATTTTGAAGTGAAAATTGTGTACGATGACAATTGGTTTCATATAATTCAAAATAATGGGTTTATTTATAAATGGTTGTGTTGATGATAGAATCTCTGATTAAAAATGCAATGTGAACAGATTGGTTTGTAAGGTCAATATCAGTGATGATTCCTATAGTGCTATTACATATTCCTTGTTCGATTAGTAAGTTATTAAGGTACATGACACGTGCGTCTGGTTGTAATCTAACAGAGGAAGGTAGGTTGGTTTTATTCTTAAAAATACGTTCAGAAGAAGGGGTCCCATTGTGTAGAATCTATAACATCAGTAGATTGGGAAATTAGGAATTTTCTATCAGGTACGGGGAGCATATTACAAACCATTCTGTTAATCTGTTGGGCGGTTTCTCTAAAACCTATGATGTTAGTGATGTCGAGAAAGGTGTCAGTTGCAGGACGTGTTAGGAATTCTGAATGTCTTCGTTCAAGGATTCGCTAAGTTTCGGGTGTAATGTTGCCTGTTCAGACTTCTTGTAACATTTGATAAAATCTGCTATTAGCTTGTTGGCGTTGTGATGTACTTAAGAATGAGGGGTAAAATAGGGTCTAAGTGATTGCACGAAATACTAGTTGAGCGTTGATAGGAAGTAATTGTGCAAGGTCACCAACGACTATAATATTTATGCCTTCAAATGCGATAGCATTATTTTTAAGGATTGCGAATATATTTGATATGAAATCGAGAAGTTCATCAGATACCATTGATATTTCGTCTATGATTATAGTATTGATTTTTTTTAGGAAATCATTTAGTTTTTTGTTTGCGTAGGCTTATATACGAAGATTTCCTTGGGTGGATGTAATTTGTAATGTGGAATAGATAGTCTTCCCTCCTATATTTTGAGCGGTGATTCCAGTTGGTACTAGTAAGAGATAATTTGATTTGTTGTTTTTAAGGGTATTTATTATTAGATTAATAATGTAAGATTTTCCGGTTCTTGCTGAGCCAGTAATGAAGTAATATGACCATTTTATACCATCATTTTTGCCCATGTATGAAGTAATGGTTGATAGAGCGTAATATTGATCTTCTGGTAATCCAACTATTATAGTTTTCGGAAATATGTGAGGGAATGTCTTAATGCTTTCTAATTGTAATCGTATTATATTGTGGATGTTGGTGAGGATCTCTTCGCATAATGTATGTAATAGTTTATCTAAGATTTCAGCAAATTGGTTATTTAGGCATGTGATATGTGATTGGTGTGTATTTGCGGTTTGATTTTGTAAGTTGGTTAGGAAATCGGGAAATAATGATAAAAATTTTTCATGATAAGTTCCATTTGGTCTGTTTTTATAGTCAAATTCATTTCTTATAGGAACGATTAAGAGTAATTTTTGGTAGAAGTATAGTTCAGCATCTTCGAGTTTAAGAAAATGATATCTGGTAATTATTTATTTTGGCGTTTTATAACATAATTGTTAAGGTCATCACGGAATATTTCTTGGGAGGTTGTGGGTCTTGAGGGAGTGATCGTGTATCTTTCGAAATATTGTGGGTAGGTGAGATTTTCAAATTGAGGGAAATGGGGTTGAGACATATATTTTGTAATTGTATCATCATAATATAGGTGTTGATCGTCTTCATCTATCATATAAGTGGGAAGGATTGTGTGAGTTCTAGTATTTGGGGGTTCAGTTGTGAGAAATTTTACTGTTGCGAAGGAACTGCAAATTTGGTGTCCTAGGAGTAAAAACATCAATTCCATTGAACTGATTCTTCTTGCGATAACGTGTTCTCTTAATGTGTCACCATCTTGGATATTGAAGATATGGGAAGGTTCTCTTTTTACGACGTATTTTATCATGTATTGCGCAAAGCCTCTGTCTGTTTTGTATTGGGCGTTCATGTGAGCGTCTCATAATAGAAGAATAGTAGGATGGTACAGAACTACCTAAGAGTCTGCTTCAGTTAGACATTTATATATATATCGATAGTTTCCTTTTTCATAATGAGTTATTTCGCTATATGGACGAGGAAACCTTTTTTGCAGGTTTGACCTGGTGGTGTTGGACCTTGGCATTTTTGGTTGCATATATGTATTTGGTTAGCTATTACAGTTGCGTATAGTTCAGGTTCATATAATAGGTCAGGAAGTATTGAACGAATCACTTCGTTTGTGATTATTGTGTTTATGGAGTTTGTGGTCCAGTAGCAACTATGTGTATGGGCTGAGTCTCTATTTTGAAATTTGACTCTATCGAAAAAGTCAGTAATTGTACCAAATTCTGTAAGTTCCAGTTTTTTGTATAGTTCTTTTTTTAGTGATTTGAACCTATGAACAAAGTAATTTGTGCAATGGTAGGGTCTATTTGTAGGTAATGTATCATTATTATCAGTATTAGAGAATATGTGATGAAGGTGGATCCAACGACTTTCGGCCATGCTCAGGGTGATGAATAATGTTGGTAGGCTGATGTTTTTTATCATTGCGTTAAGGTGTAGTTGTTTTTAGTGAAAGTAGGTATCACCTGTACGTATAAAACTCGAGAGGGATTCGTGATAGTTTCGTTTATTTTGTAATATTGGATGTAGTTGCTAGGTTGGAGGAGCTGTCTAGCGGTAGGGAGGTTGATGTTGTTTGAGTTGAGGTTGGCTTGTCTTAAGAGGCATTGGGTATTTTGGTGGTGTCTCAATTTTTCTAATTGTAAGTATGACCAATGTGGCCAGTGATAGTAAAGTCTCTATCTTAGATCGTAATTCATCAGGCATTGTTTGATGTATTTTCCGTAAGTTTCTTCTCGCATTTCGTCGTTTGAGGAGGTGAATTGGGTCATTATGTCGTGAAAGTGATCTCTTCCGTCTGTGAATAAGTCTAGGAAGAGTAGAGGTTCTAAGTTTGGATTGTAGTTTGAAATAGGTATACGTAGAGTTTCGCTTTCTTGAACGAATCCAGCTATCAATCTTGTGTAATAGAAGTCTTCGTTGTAGACTTCATCGGGAAAATTGTAGTTAGAAACTATTATATCACGAGGTTCACAGGAGGTGCGTTTGTATCTGTTGGGATGTGAGTAGCTCTCAGGAAAGGTTGGTTAAGGGTTTGTTGGTATCTATCAGATGAAGTTAATATGTCAGCAAAAGGGTGAAAGTAAGGGTTATTTTGGGATAACCAATTAGCGGCTCGTCATAGGGTTTCGTCATGGATAGGGTTATTGTTATTCGTGAAATAATTAGGATCGTTCGATTCTAAGAATGCGCCTAGGATCCCAAAGTATAATGTGTGAACTCTGACGTTACATGAGTAATTCATAGTACCAGTTAAACATCTGTATTCGGAGTAAAGGTTGCTATTAGGGGTTCTACCTAAGGAGCAGTGTAAATATACTGGGAATAGATGTTTTCTTTTATGTAAAGGAACAGATACGATTTCTTGTGGCATGAGGGAAAGGTAAGGAAATAAGAATCTGGTAAAGGGTTTCTTGCAGAATTTGCAGGTGGGAATTCTTAGTTCAATGATACGGTCGGTATTAGGGTTGAAGGATAGGATAATGTTAGGGAAGTATTGTTATATGGGGTAGACGATTGACGAGTTGTGAAGTATCCATTCTGCTTTTTTGGGGTATAAGAGCTTTCTACAATAGACGCAAGCGATTCGAGACCATTGTCCTAAGATGTCATTTTGGAATCTGTTATATAATTTTTGTAATTTCGATGAGAGTCTCCAGTATGATGGTTGTCTTGGTAGTTGGTGAGTGTTGTTCGGTTGTGGATCGTTTGAAGGAGTTTTTAGTGAGGTATTATGAGAGATGTCCGTGTTATGTGATAAAGGATCAGGGGTTTTCCAATCTAATGTAGTTTCGTGTTCGTTATCAAAAGTGTAGATGGTATTGATATGGTGGGTTATGATAAGAGGTGAGGTTATAGTTTGTTCAGGGTAAGTTTTTAAGATAAGGAGGGATAAGTGTGATAGAGGTTTGACAGATTTATTTTGGGATTTTAAATTATATGTTTTTAGTTGAGGTTTCGGTCAATTTTTTAGAAGATTTTTAATAGATTTTTAGTGGATCAGTAGGATCAATAGGATTAGAGGAATATGTTATCACGAAGGTATGCGATCGTGGGGGATTGGCAAGTTAAATACTTTTTTTTTTTTCTTTTTATAGTGGGCTAGTTGATTTGTGATTACGCATAAAACTGAGATTGTTATGTAGTATTCGGTTAATCCAATTTTTTTATTGTTTAAAAAAAAAAATAGTTTAAAAATTTTTAATTTTAAAGTTTTGATTTTATTTATTAGACTTTTCTTTTTTATTTTGATTATTTAGGTATGTTAGGAGTTTATCATTGATGCGATTTTCTTTGTTTTGGTTTAGTTAATTTAATAGGTTGATTTATTTCTTTTTTTTTTTTACTTTTAATCGGGAATGTTAAGGAAATCGTAGTTCGGGGTTACGATGAAGCAAATGTTAGTTTTTTTTAGTTGAAAATTACTATGTATATAGTTTTCGTTTAGTATCATTGTTTGTATTATGACATTTTAATAAAATTCATTTTGTTATTGTATCTTTTGCAATGAAAGGTTTATTTACATATAGGAGTTTTCTTTTTGATTGGTTACATGATGTTCTTAAAAAACGCAGAAAAGAATTAAGAGATAAAAAATATATGAAAAAAAAATAAAAAAAAAAGTAAGGATAAAAAAATAATAAAAAAAATGAAAAAAAAAAGTAAAAAAGAAAGTAAAAAATTGTTCAAGTATATGTTTGATTGAGTTGGAGTGTATGTGTCTTCTTTTACGGTTGAATAGGAAGAAATTTTTCTTCTTGATATTTAATTAATTTTGTTAAACTTCCGGAAGTATGTTGTTATTGCTTTCGGATGAGCTTGTTGGGAAATTAGGGGGAAGCGAGTTTGCGTTCAACGCGGCTGTGAGGTCTGTAGTCAGATCTGTTGATATGGCCTCTATCTGAGACAAGGTTTGTCGACCTTTTTTGGATTTTCTGGTATTGGTTGATCTTGGAGTGCGGTTCGTTCTGTCATTGGTTCTGGGACTGCTATTGTTAGACCACGGGAGGTTTAACGGTTGAGTATTTATGCAGGATTGAATTACGGGGATTAAGGATATGTCCTTTAATTTTAGGACATGTTTTCCTGGTGTTAGTTCCTTTCCAGTAGAAGAATCTTTGGTAGGTTCTTCATAGTGTATGTTACCTACTAGAATGGCTGTAGTGGATCTAATATTATTTGCAGAATTGATGGAGGAAGTTTTGTTAGCGAGGTAGTTATTCGTCGGGCTGTGTCTGACTTCTAAGTGGAAATTACGGGGTTCTCTCTCTCCGAGGTGCTCTTCTACGTAAAAATCTATTACAGATTTTTCGTTTACATTCCTGACAACTTGAGTAGTGATGCCCGAAAGCATTACGTTGATTCCTGTGACGGGCATTTTGTCATATTCTATATTTTTAATTGGTTTAATTGCGGTGACATTTACCTTAAATGTGGGATGATTTTTTTGAGTTTTTTTTTTGATTTGGGGTAAATACGGTACGAAAGATATGAAAAAAGGCATACTTGATACCAGTTCAGAAATCCGATAAACTTTCCTTTTAGGTATACTACATCATCAATTTCAAAGGGGTGGATATTATGTTTAGCTAACTCGTCTAGGGGGATGAACGCTTTTACTCTTAAGTATGCAATTATTTTAGGATCTTCTTCGTCCATTTTGGTAACTGCGGTCATTTCTTTCAAAGTGTAATCTTTGGTCATCCTTTCGGAGCACTCATAAATGTAACAAATAGTTTCTAGTTTGAAAGGCATTCTTTGATTTTTGTGATTTTTGTGGGGTTTGTTGGTTTTCTTTTTATTTTTTTGGAGAGAAGTTTTTTTTTTTTTTACAAGTTAAAGTGCGTGTATATGTGTGTATATATACATTGTATACAACTTTTTTTTTTTCTTAATCACATTGTCGAATTTTCACATGGATGGTGCAAATTTTGGAAGAAAAGAAAAAAAATTTTTTTTTTTCTACTTTGCGGTAGAATTTTTGAAAAGGTAAGCAGTAGTTCAAAAGGGGAGACGGGGTATATATAGTTTTCCATAGGAAGGAATAAACAAAATGGGTTTCGTAGATAAACAGGATGGGCTTAGCAAATAAACAAATATTGGGCTTTGTAGATAATCACAGAATTCAATTGATTTGGAAATTTATGTAATACAGATAAGGTTTTTTTTCCTATCGAACGAATTCGAATCAAGGTAAAAAAAAAAAACGAAAAGTGGTCGAATGATAAATACAGAAATTTAAAAGAAGTTTGAGAAAGATAAAGGAATTTAATTTTTTGAATTAATCTATTTTATTAAAAGT